ACGTGTTATTCATATTATTAGTCATTATGAATTTTTTGTTCATTTAAAAGTTCTTTATTTTGTTTTTTTTCTATTAAAAAGCAGTATTAACATTATAAGGACATAATACAATACTTGGAGATTATTTTGAGAGTTTAGATAAAATTGCAGTAACAATTAAAAAATTATCACTTTGTCGATATGTTTAATTTCATTCATATTATATTAAAACTTTAAATACTCGATTTGATGAATTTGATGATGATTTATATTTACTTTGTCATTTTTTAATACCAAATTTCAAAGGTAAGTATTATTTATTAATTATTATTATTTGTTAAAGTTTTTATTTATTTTTATTATATTAGGTTTGGGATTACAAAATGGTCAATTTAAACCAGGGTTGGTCCAATAGCCAACGGATCTAATAGACCAATAGCCAATGGATCCAATAGATATTGGTTTATTGAAAAAGTCTAATGGATCTATGAGAGACATTAGATCTATTAAGATCATTAATTTAATTGGTTAATTTATTATATATAAATTTAATTAATTTTAAAACTCATAACTCATCAACCACAAATGCTAGAAATATGATTTTATATTTATTTTAATCCTTAAATCTTAAAGTATATTCAATAAAAATTTGAAATTGGATTATTAATACCAATTTTGTGTAATTTATAAATTTATATCAAATTTTTACTAAATTAAATTTAAGCATAAAAAATATTTTTAAGCAGGCTGCCTACTAAAAAACTGATACTGGATTCTGATTCTTCTCAATGCAATGATTTCAACAAGCTAAAATTCGTCAAAATCAAATCAGTAGATCAGCAAAAAATTGATCTATAAAATCACATTGTATAATGTCTAATCAATTTTTTTATATAGTAATGATATTTCCGATGCTTGAGGCATTCATTTATTACAAAAAAGATATGGTTTTTGCAAAAATAAACAATCCACTTCAGTGTTGTTCATTTTATATGTAAAATATTAAAAATTTTTTGCAAAAATAAAGCTTTTTATGCTTGAGACATTCATTTATTGCAAAAAAATATATGGTTTTTGCAAAAATGAACAATCCACTTTAGTGTTGTTTATTTTATGCAAAATATTAAAATTTTTGCCTTTGAAGCTTGAAGCATTCATTTATTGCAAAAATTTTTTAATTTTTTTTTGCAAAAATGACGCTTCCAATGCTTGAGACATTGATTTATTGCAAAAAATTTTAACTTTTTTTGCAAAAATAACACCTCCGATGCTTGAGACATTTATTTATTCAAAAAAATATTTTTTTTTTGTAAAAATGAATAATCCACTTTGATATTATTCATTTTATGCAAAATATTAAACTTTTTTTTGCAAAAATAACACCTCCTATGCTTGAGACATTCATTTATTGCAAAAAATTTTAATTTTTTTTGCAAAAATGACGTCTCTAATGCTTGAGACATTCATTTATTGATAAAAAATATATGGTTTTTGCAAAAATGAACAATCCACTTTAGCCAATACTTAAGGCATTGATTTATTACAAAAAATTTTAATTTTTTTTGCAAAAATGACGGTCTGATGCTTGAGACATTCATTTATTACAAAAATATGTAAAAATCAAATAAACTATAGAGTCATTTATTTTTATAATTTTTTTTTGACAAAATTAAATTATATCATATATTGGCTAATAGATCCCAATAAATCTCAATAGATCATCATCTATTAAGATCTATTGACTAACGATCTATTTATGCATACTGCGTTATTTGGATCTAATAGATTATCAATAAATCTGATCTATTAGATCATTTAGCTATTGAAGTCTAATGGATCTGATCTATTTCCAATCCTATAATATAGAACTATTTTTTATTTATATATCACTTCGATCATATAAGAGATAATCAGTAGAAAAGGAAAAAATCCAAAATTTTTGTTAATTTTATTATTAAGTTAAATTTGTGCACATGACTGAGATCAGCCAAGTGGTCCAATAATAAAAATTTTGACTAAAATTTAGATTTCCCCCTTTTATACTGACCACCTCTCATATTTTAAAAAATTTATAAATGATGATAAATCATTTCACAGATTAGCTCTATGTCTATAAAATTATGCTGAATATAATATTGGAAAACATTTCTTGAAAGTCTTTTGGAATGCTCTATCTCTATATCACCAATCACTGCTAAGTAAGATATCAATATGCAAATTAAGTTATACTAATAGTTTCATTTTGATTACTAGTATACTGACAGAATTTTTTTTGATAATATTTAGAATTTTATACCTATTTTATCATAGTATACTAAATTAGTATATAACCTTTTTGTTGTAATATTTTTCTAACATAATCAAAGAGCATCTAACTTAATCAGTATAATAATTGATTTTTTCTTTTTATAGCGTATTAAAATAATCACTTATTCAATTAAATTTTATGAGTTTTCTGTTAATATAATAATAAGCCTTATTATAAGAAATATTACTTAAATACTTTTACCTATCAGAAGTATCATTATTCCTTACTACCTCCTAAATTTGTTTTATCAAAAATTTAGGTTTCTTTTATAATTCCTATAAGCTCGCTGGATAACTATTACATAGAAATTTTCAAAGCTATAATTATAATATTTAGGAATTAAGAATCCCTATAATCATTTTATTGAACTTTCTAAATTTCTGAAAAAAAAATTTTCATTATAGATTAGAAATCTAATCCAAAATAGGTAGATTATGCATAGCACCTTTGGCCAATATTTACCTGCATATATGATAGACAAACAGTTGATCATTTTATGCAAAATAATAAAATTTTATGAAAAAATATATTAACTGCTTTTTTGGTTTAATAAATAATCTATGTTTTAGAACTTAGAATATTTTTCCAATCAGTCAGTTAAATGTTAGACAATCATAATTACTATTTCATTCCTTAATCTTAATCTAGTATCTTTTGATTGATTAAGATAATTTATAGATAATAGTAAGTTATTTTATTTTACGAACAGAAATAAGATAAATAGTTTGTCTGTATTATTTTTGCAAATTAAGGGTTGAAGCTTTGTAATTCCACTAAATACATTTTTCAACAGCTTCTCATAATGATAAGGTGTCAATAGACATGACTTATCCTCAGTCTTATCTTTGAAACATAAGCAATCCTAATGATTCTTTATCAAATCTTCATGTTTAAGTAATATTCATATCTACGCCACCCGCTGAAGTATTTTTTTTTGGTTCTACATTAGTAATCTTTACTAATTTCCAACCATTAAAACAAATAGCTATTCTGCTTTTATAAACACTAGGTCTATAATAATCATATGAAATATCTTTTAACTGATAATCTTGTTCAAATAATACAAAATCATATTTGAAATATTAAAAGATCTTAAAAAAAATTTGCAAAATGCCAAAAAGATTAACTTTATATAATGCAAAAGAAACTGTAAAACAATGAGAAGGAGTGTGTCTTTCAGATAAATTTACCAATAGTTATTCACCTATGCAATGGAAACGTATTAAAGATCATATATGGGTTGTAACATTTAATAGTATAAAATATGGTATCCATATTGTGCAAGAAAAATTTATCAAACTCTTGAAACTGCGAAAATAATTGCATTTAATAAAGGTGATAATTGTATTTCAAATAAATATATTAACAGTAAATCCTATTTGCAATGAAAATGTGCCAGAAATCATGAATGGAATGCAACACTTGATAGTATAAAAAATAAAAATTAATGGTATCCATATTGTGCAGAACAAGCTAAGAATACTCTTGATATTACTAAGTTGATTGAAATTAATAAAAGTGGAGATTGTATTTCAAATGAATATATTAATGGTTCATCTCATTTAAGATGGAAATGTGCAAAAGGTTACAAATGGAATGCAACACTTGAAAGTGTAAAAAATCAAGATTCATGATATCCCATATGTGCTGGATGTACTAAGATATGCAAAATTTGGCGCAGAAACGCAATGGGAACTGTCTTTCAAATAGTTATAAAGATGCGCATTCTGGAATTGCTCTAAAGGACATATATGGAATGCCACATTTGCTAGAGGCTCATGGTATCCTTTTTGTAAAATAAACATGAAAATATATGCCGTGAAATTGTAATTAACTATCTTGGACCACCATCAGAAAATTGCTGGCTGGATTTCTTAAAAACATCTAAATACTCTCAAGGATTACAACTTGATATATTATATCCAGAATATGGTTTCGCAATCGAAGTGCAAGGAGAACAGCACGAAAATTCTTTCATAAAGGAGACAAGAATAATTTTATCAAACAGCAAGCGCGAGATCAACTCAAGAAAGAATTATGCGAAGAGAATCAGATTGCCTTGAGGTATGTTTGGTATTATGAAAACCCATATGTAATTATTCCAGAGCATCTTCGAGAATTAGGTCTCATTGAATAAAGACAAAACTTTAAATGCATTTATCCATACTTCGAACAATCTTGCCTCAAAATTTTATTTTTTACACACACATTCACATACACACATGTTTTTGAGCGAAATTTTATTAATATTATTTTATTAAACTTCGGATATATGCTAATATTGAAAATAAGTTACATATTTTTTTGCATGCTACAGGCATATTACAAGTTGAACAAAAAGATCATTTATGTTCCTTTCACTAGTTTCCTAAACTGTGGCGTTCCCAGTATAGCTCCAACACCAATTGCAAACTTCTATATTTTTTTTCTTTCATTTGATTAATACTATCACAAAAGCTCCCTTGTATTTTTTCCTAAATTTTAATAAACGTTATTAAGAAATGATCAAGCTAAGAAAGCAACTAATCATACATTCGAACATACCACAAATATAAACAACTTATCAATATCATTGATAAATATCCACGAGTTTTATGCTCTGTTATATTTGCAAAGAGGGTTACGGTAAAAACACAAGACAAAAATGCGTTATCAACAATCACCAAATGGGAATGAAATATAATATTAGTGCTCCTTAAGATCAAAAAAAGACTTAACAGGAACGATCTCCATACCTCATCTCTAACAATTTCATAACAAAATCCTTATTTACTTCGTTTTTGACGGTATGTGGTCCATATGCTATGAAATAATAGGGTAAAAAATATCAGATTAAACAGTTCTGGAATAAAGCACCTGTCCGTCGCAAGACCTAACCGTCGTCGCAGGAAACCGGACTAAACCGTCGTCGCAAGAAACCGGGCTTAGGACAAGGTGATATTGTAGTTGTCCGTTCACAAAACCTAACCCGTCGTCGCAAGAAGCGGGCTTAGGACGAACTGCTAATACTCGCATGAGTGTTCGATATCAAAATAATATACTTATCTTTATTGCTATGATAGAAGACACCGATCTGAGCCATGGTCAGAAATGACATCCCTAATTTAATTTTTTGTGAAACGCGTTTTTTGTGTCACATAGGTGATGAATAATAGGAATATAAAAATCGCGCGATGCGTTCTTAAGAAATGTGTAATTATAAACTGGATTTCTCGTCTAAAAATTTTCCCTCATGACTACGGAAATTTTGGAAGGTTCTACCATGAAAGGGTTTATTGATCCATATTTTTTTATTACTCCTTTCGGGCTATGGAAACTTTGGTCTTTTATTGACGTACATGCTGGACCAGGATTCTTAAAAAAGGACTGCTTGTACTTTTACAAGGAAGGTCTACAAAACATTTGTAAATCATCAAAGTTTGACGACGAGCAAAAGACTATGGCAAAAAATCTAATTGATACTTATAAAGCGGACAAAGTGAAGTGTGCAGAGTTATTAAAACTTCATGAAAACAAAAATCACAGCCCAATCGGTTAGGTCGGATATGCTTCAGAACAGGGTAAGTAACTTGCACTATCCCAACAAATATATTCGTCAATATGTGTAGCTTACTTAAATTCTTAAAATTATGTATAGCTTAAATTATTAGCTAACACTGCAAGGTCCGCAAATTCCACACTTTACACAACATTCACCCAAGCTGATGTATCCGTTAGTTGTTATAAAACACCAGAAAAACAGATCACAACAGATCATGATATCTCACCAATTGAACCAAATCCTTTTATCGTTGAATCATCACAAGGAAGAAAACATGATCTAGAGGATGAAAGTAATTCTGAAGAGGAGTATGACGCGGAACAAATAATTGTATGCGGAAAAAGTATTAGTTGGTTAGTTGATGGGATTAACATCCGTGACAAACTTACGGAATACCAGGAAATAGGTCTACCAAAAATGAGGCCAGAATACTATGATGTAATACTTTTTACTGATAAAAATCAAGACATGTTTTTGGGGGCGCTGGAAGAAAATATTGTTGTGCAGATGCATAATGATATAAAGAGAAATGATGAGGGAACAAAATGTGATATTGAAGAAAACATTAAATCATTTCTGAACAACATTATTGTTCGTGACATAAACAAAACTAAGGAAAATCTTAAATTACGGAAGAATGTTGAGTCATTTGAGAAAGATTTTGCTTTGTTTTTTATAAACCATATGTATGACTATATTTTGCTTGATCTCCATTGAGAAATGTAATAAGACTAACAAACTCATAGTTTATAGGATTGAACTTATGGAAGATGTTAATGTGCTTCTCGAAGATATGTCCGAAGGGTCGTTCATTGTAATGGTTCTAGCGCCAATTCTGAATAAATTTTTTATGAGAAATAAGAAGATCTGGTACCCAAAATACGGGGAAACATGTCTTAAGGCGAATGCTGAAGATCATAATTCTCAGAAAACGGATAATGAACGACGTTCTCCTGGCAAGAAGATTGACACGATCATTATATTAAAGGAAGATAATGAGGAGTTCTCGGTTACAGAAGTCAGCGGTCCCCCAAATAAAAATGATTGGTCGCACTTTGTTGGAGATCGGCTGAAAATAGCTAAGATGTTAAAAACATTGATGAATCGATTCGCAAAGCTTCGCCCAGGTTCCGATATTAGAATGGTTAGACTATACGGAATGCAGTTATATTGTAAGTTTTGGGCACATTAATATCGCTCATTATAATTGCATATTACTAACTTTTGGAGTTTACAGTATGTCAGGTTATCATATATGAATTTCAACTTAAATATTCTGAAATATACACCATGGAAGAAGTGTTGAAATTTCCTCTTCCAAAAACTTGGAAAGATATGAAAAATGCTCACGAAAGTATAATCGGATTCTTGAGATATGAGGTTTGCACAGATTGATTATAGAAGGAATAATACAGTATATAGAATACAAAAAATTAACATTCTTATAAACTTAGCGCCTATTATCCGAAAGTTCGACATCTATAGGTGATTTTTTGTGGACAGATGGCGATGGCGAAGCTTTTCAGGGTATGACAACTCGGATGATCCATTCTCCTAAATCTAAACGTACTAATAAGAAAATACGAGTTTAACTTGATATATGGTTAGTTTATTTCTCCGCGAAATGATACCTGTTCACTTGATAGCAATGGGTTCTTCTAATGAATCAATCTCAGAATGTCTTTTTTTCATATCTGATAGTGCATGATTATAATTCGAATAAAAAATTATGATAAGTAAAATAATTATTTTGATGCGACTTCCCCTGCGTACCCATCAAAAAATGTCACGTCAGCCCACATTAAGACTTTTGCAGGCCCATATGCATGATCATGCATGTTGCCGATCCTTAATGTCGGCCATTTCATGACATTTTTTGATGGGTACGCAGGGGTAGTCTTTTGATGCACACTGCGCCGTGCATATTCACATGCATGTAAGGGATTTTCCGATGGCATAAATCAATTCAGAGATAATATGGGTGGTATGCTATTAAAATTGAGGTACGAGACATAGTAAATCATATGATTCGAACCTCAATTTTAATAGATCACCACCCATATAATGGCTAAATTATTTTCAGAACTATTAACCAGATGTAATCATATCACAGGTATCATCCTGGTTTCCTGACACTCTCCAGGAACTATCATAGCTTTTTCAAATCACGTGGAATAATCGGATAATCAGAATTTGTGTAGCATCTAAGCCATCATTATTATTTGATTTATCATTATACTAATCAGTCTAATGATTTAATACATCACTCAATATTTCTTCATTCCCTAGAAAATCTTCCTATCATGAAAAAAATATGACAATTATTAAATGGGTTTGCTACTCCAAATAAGAAGAAATGGTTTTCTGGAATGTTATTGCTAATAAGATTAACAAATGAGAAAATACAAATTATTTTACTAGTGAGGATTGTAATAAGAAGCTCACAAATCTCAAAAAAGCATTTAAAATAAGTGGTGATAACTGGTAGGGTTCCTCAAAATCAAATTAAATCAAATTCAAATTTGATCAAATCAAATCAAATCAAATATAAATTTTTTTTAATTATTATAATGATATATTAAATAAAGTTTTAATTAAGAAAATTATTAGTAATTGCACTAAAAAATTTCAAAGATAAGTAAGTTAGTAACAGGTGTATTTATATTAAGAAAAACATAGTAAAAAATGCCTCTGCAGCTTCGAAAATGCTTTTTTACTATGTTTTACTTAGTAAAAAAAGCATTTTCGAAGCAATGAAGGCGTTTTCTACTATGATTTACTTAGTAAAAAAGCATTCTTGAAGCTGCGAAGGCATTTTTTACTATGTTTTACTTAATAAAAAAAGCATTTCTGAAGCTGCAGAGGCATTTTTTTACTATGTTTTTCTTAGTTAATACCATTTCTGAAGCTTCAGAAATGGTTTTACTATTGATTCAAATCAAATCAAATATTTGAACAGTTGATTTGAATTTGATCGAATCGAATTAAAGATTAATTTAGATTTGATCAAATAAATGTTTTTTTGATTTGAATTTGATCGAATCGAATCAAATATAAATTTGTATTTGTATTTGATTTAATTTTCAAATCAAATATTCAAATATCAAATTGAATTGCAGAACCATAATAATTGGGTTCTTTGAAGAAATCTGCCTGATTGATATACTTTTTATTTTTTATTAGATAGCTCAAAAATATAAAGAAAATACTGAAATTAAAAGAAGTTTAATTGACAAAGAGATTTATGATAAGTTCTCTAATAAGTTTTGGTTTAAATTAAGTATATGGAAAGCGGTCAGTAGAAAAGGGGAAAATCTAAATTTTGGTCAAAATTTATATTATTAGACTATTTGGCTAATCTCGATTATGTACACAAATTTGGCTTAATAATAAAAATTAACAAAAATTTTGGATTTCCCTTTTTTCTGACTGCCTCCTATATAATAGTGATAAGTCCAGCTATGTTACTAATTTTATGAATCTATTTTTTAGAACTACCATTTGATCAAGTGTATAATGAAGATATTAGAAGGTTAAGTAAGATGAGCGAGTTATTATCATCATAAGGAAAGTTTTACGAATTCTTATCAATCAATATATTTAAAGTTTCAACAGATAGTATTTATGATAATAATGATATGTTATTTTGTGAGCAATGATTAAGTTTCTTTTTAGAGAGACCCAAGTGAATATCAACTGAATTATCCAAAAAATTATCAACTATTGAAATATCTCTTATCTCTAGACCTATGACTCCAACTATTTCTTTTTTTTGCAAAATGCAATGTAATCAATATTAGCATCAATTATGATAAAAGGTCAAATAAGTAACAGGAATAAGTTTTTTTTTCTGTTAGTATAAAATAGCATTTTTAATGGTTTAATAGAATACAAAAGCAATAAAAATATACTATTACTTGTAAATCTACATATTTTTAAAATTCAAAATAAAATCTTTATTATTTTTTTGTAAAATAATACATGAGAAAGAGCTGGCTGACTAAGTAATATACAATTGATGTAAATCTTAACCAGTTAATTAAAATTATGTATTGTTACCCAATTAATGATTAGATAGACTGAAATACATAATCAATTGAGTAGTAGTAATATTTAACTCAATCTTTACGATAAATTGGAAAAAATTTTAATTATATTGAAACTTCAATTATTATTGGTATACTTTCACAATTAAGTTTTCAAATTAACAAATGTGAAGACTTCTAATTCACTATATGTAACTCATAATTTCCTCTTAAAATTAGAAAAATTACCTTGATGATGTTATAATAGATTTATTATAATCAAATTGGTGATGCACAGCTTAAAGTATTTCACAATATTAATACTTTAACTCATTGGTGACTCAAACACAGTTATTGACACAAAGCAATTATTTGACATCAAATGATTGATTAATATGAATAAATTAGTGATGTTAAACACAGTTGATACAAAGTATGGTTTATACAAAATAAGGTTAACACAAGTGATTGATTTGCTGAAACAATTTAACAAAAAGATTTATTAACTTATAAAATTAACTTTCTAAATTTCTAAGTTTTACTCTTTAAATTTCTAATGATATATGATGAAAAACTCAGCCTTATTTATAATAAAATTTCTATACTAAATTGCTATCTATTGCATAAAAACTATGTAATAATTCTCTCATTTTTCTATGTAATCTTACTGTAATAATTGAGTAATGACTACTTAATCGCTATGCAATAATCCTATAACTATAATATATTTTATTTAAAAAGATATAAAAATATAATTATATTGTTCTTTTAATTTATTACTATATCATAATACTTAGTCTTTGAATAGTTTTTTCTTGAAGTTCTCTTTTGAAGTTTCTAGTTTAGAAGGTTACGTGTGTCATCATGGGCTAATGATCTATTACTTCATCTTTTTATTAATTGATTTGATTAATTTCATAGATCATTAATACAGATCATTGTGTTATAATTTTTTGTAGATTAATTTGTGATCTACATATTGATTATATTGCAAATCATGTTTTACTGTATCACAATTTTCTGTTTCTTTAAAGTTATATCCTCCTTCTTTAATTTTTTTCTTCTGGAAGAAATTCTTTAATGACTACCTATGGTTCTAACTTTTCCTCATAGTAGGTTTTAAGTCTATTTCTATATACTAAATTTCTTAGTAATTTTACTTCAAGTATCCTTAACTTATAATTACTCTTTTCATAAACTTTGTGGATAAAGTATAGTCCGATCTGTTTTGCCTTTAATTTTGCTAAGAAATTATTTTCTAGTGAGTCTGATGCAACAGGATTTTATTTTCATTTGAAATTTTTCAAAAACATTCTTCTATTTTCATTTTGCTTATTATATTCTAATTCTTTGTTTTACTTCGTATGTATCATTATTTTCCATGATTCTCAAGTTCTTTTGAGCAATATAACCTTTTCTTCTTTATTGTAAGTTACAACCTTTAGATTAATTGGTAGGGTTGCTTGTCTTCCATATAGTAACTAAAATGACATGAATCCTGTAGTTCATATTTCTTGGTTCAATACATTGATCCTATTCTTTTTCTTCAGAAAGTTTGCTAGACATCCACCTATGGTTCTGTTAAATTTTTTCAATATTCCATTTGTTTGAGATCTATATAGTGAGGTTAATCAATGCTTGGTCTGCCAATCTTTGCATAATTCATTTATCTATTGATTATTTAATGTAGTACCTCTATCTATTAGGATAACTTTAGATACTTCATGTTTATAGATGATTACTTTGAATATAAATTCTGTTATATCTGTAGCTTTTGCTTGCTTTAAAGACTTTACTTCTAGCCATTTTGTAAGATAATCTATAGCTACTATAAGATATTTATTTCCCCCTATTATTACTAGTAGAGATCCTTTTATATCTATACCAATTCAATTAAAAGGTCCCTTTACTGATATTGGATAAGATTCCTCTATCCTTTTGGATTTTTCTCTTCTTTGACACAAGTTACAATATTAAATGTATTTCTAATAATTTTATATATTTGTGGCTAATAGTACTTTTCTTTAAGCTTTTCATATATTATTTCCATTTCAAGATGTGTTCCAGTGATATCTTTATGCAAATTGAATAATATCAACTCAATTTGTTCAGATAATATAACTCGTTAAGGTTATCTATTTTTACGTCATTTAAATAAATATTATTCTATTATAAAATACTTGTTGAATTGTTTTCTAATTTAGGATTTTTGTTGTTTATTTGTCTTTTCTGAATATGTAAGGATTATTAAATATTTAAAAATATCATTATATTCATTCTTATTCATTTCTTATAATGATTGGTTATTGAAGATGTTTGTATTGGAATCCTAGATAATGCATCTGATACTGAGTTATATTTTCCCTTTTATGAATGATTTCATAGTTGTAGTTTTGTAGAATCATTCTCTTAGGGTTCCTCAAAATCAAATCAAATCAAATATTTAAGCAATTTGAATTTGATTTGATTTTTTCAAATCGAAT